TCGCTGCTGCAGCCGCGTCTGCGGCCCGTTGACGACCGCCCTAATCAACTGCCCGGATGACGAGGGTATATGTTGGGAATGTACGTTGGAGCGACTTAGCTAGAGCACTGTAATGATGATTATGATTAGTATGATTATGATTTACTATTGATAGCAAGACAAATACAACAATATCAACCATATAGCTTGGTGACCAATAAAACTTGGAAGTGAAATAAGCAATGAAGAGCAATAGATGTATGGAATGCAGGTGGTAGCTTTGGCGGTGAAGAGCAGTGGCCCCCAACACTGCAAGTCGCGAGCGTTCGAAACGGCTCCGGATACCAGCTTAGTAGGTCCGTCAACCCCACCAAGGTCCACCTCATGGGCACGGATTTAGGCAAGAAGTGTAGAAAGGTGGAAAGTGCAGCGTATCTCAAGCGGTCGCGAACAAGCGCTGCTTACATAAAGGGAGTTTTCCATCACTCTTTATCAAAAATAGAAATGGACGTAACTTTCATGCTGCACCACTTCGACCTGGTAAGAATGAACTGTGAGGATTTCGAAACTTCACAAAAATTGGGGAAGTAAGGTATGTAGTGGCCACGACAGTATTTTAAGGACTAATAGTCCATTAGAGCATGTGTGTTGGCCATCTTACTGCAGTGGTTACCATACCCTACAGCACAGAAACCCGATATCTCGGACGAGTGAATAAATGAGAAGGAGATTTGGAAAAGAGGCGAGACCACCCTCTGTGCGTGAGAACGATCTATGAATTGAGGACTATAAGGATTAAATCATCTAGTCATGAGAAACTATAAGGTGATAGTTTAAGATAGCACGAGATAATGTTGTTTGTTTGCATATTAAAGGCGACATAACTTTGTTCACGGATATCAGGAGTAGATACTTCAATTACCTTAATTTTTACTAGTCAAATCAAGTATTGCCACACTGTAATAATGACTGCCTATTACTCGTACACAGAAAAACCATACAGGATCCCAGTGAAAAGGATGATGTTCTGGGACGTGCCATGCATTTGCTACAAATAGAAGTTGATTCGACGTACATATTTCAATGCGGTTTTGCATGAAAAATACTGCTGTCTCTCCATCACTGGACAACTTTGAGAAAATTGCGAAACTGCGGATAGAAGAAAGTATACGTATTGATATGAAGAATCGCGGAATTGAGATAAACGCGGAAATAAGGGTTCTGTATAGTGAGCGATGGACAAACTTAATAGGGAATGACTGCTCAGCCCCGCCCTTGGGGGACTCTTGATTCTGCTAAATTTCGGCATTTCTGCAGATTCTGCGTTTCTGCATTTCTCCAAGTCCCGCGGTATCCCAATCGATGAGTATACTTTCTTCTATCCACAGTTTCGTCATTTCTTCCCAGTCGTGTATGAAGTTAACTTCAAGGGTCATGCGAAAATGAAGCACAGAAAGTTGGTTGGTTGCTCAAGCGAAAAATGCATCAGAAAAATCCAACCGAACATCTAAAATCCATTTTTGAAGGAAAAAGTATTCCTGTAGACATAACCAGACGGTGCCTGAACTCATAGCCTTGAGGAATACTTTACGCGTTGCGTCAAATTTAGGGTCAGCGAAATATCAACAAAGATTTCCTACGCCGTAGGGTGCTCTGGAGATGATATAGCGATCTTGTACAGAACTAGCTATTTCTCCTATTCCAGTGGATTCTCGATCTCCTTCCGCTATTTTTCGAAAACTTAAGAATACGTGCTCGAAGTTCAGCTGGTTTTACTAGTCCTCTTCATTGCGACCTGTGGCGGGCGTGGCACTGCGGCTGCGTTTGGTGCGGTTTGGCAGAGTCGTTCTGCACCAGTTTTTAAAGCAGACAAGTGCATTACTGTATTGTATCCTTCGTATTATTCGTTTTCTACCCTTTTTGTCGCATACGCGTTTCAACAAAAAGGCTGAGAACGGCTTCAACAGTGTGCGCACTCCTTCTGGCTGACACGCCCCACCGGTCCGCAATGATGAGGACTGTATGTTCGCCTGACAACTTCTTCTGCGATGACGTTCGGTTTGATCATCAGAAGCATCATGAGGGATTACGGTAGCGGGCAACACAAAACCGCAAAAACCACCATGAATGCGTGGACGCTGACGTCTTTATGAATAAGTTTTGTAATTAAGAAATCCTCAGGATAAAAAAATTCGGTGTTTACTCTAGCCACTTTAGATATTCAGCACAAGGGGATGAATAGGAAGTACCCATTGGTATAAGCAGATTGGGTGTTTTCAAATAGCTTTGAGGCCGGATTTGCCCGGATTGTATAGCAGATTCCTAAAGCGCTTTGTGGTGATCCGCAGAGAATCTTATACGAGATAATTCGAAATATCTTTCACACTTGAAGTGCGTAAGACAACGAAAAATTATTTGAAAGTGGGGCACGTGTAACGCTGCGAGGCGCGAATATCATTTCTGGGCGGGGCATGTACGCTGAAGCACCACTCTGCTTCCTGTATTTGTTAGGTTAGATGCAATTGCCAAAATCTCGAACGTTAACAGCTAGGCGAGCTAATAATCGAACATTGAAACCCTTAGCAGGAAAGGTGGAAATAGTGTTAATGATTTTTTTTCTATGTTTTACAGTGCAGCAGCGCGAGACCAGAGTGCGCCCATGCGTTTTTGTGAAATGCTTCTACTTGAGACAACTGTCATCTTGTCTTGCGCTTTACAAAGACATGATTACCAATGTGTAAGATGGAAACGTCTACCCAAAAGCGGAGGCGCTGCCACGTTCCAATAAAGTGCGAGACCACGCCCTTTCCATCTCAATGGTACGATATGTGTGCATGCTTACTAGTTGTGTCAGGGCACGTCCTGCCGCCAGGGGGACTTTTTGAAGAATGAACTCTCTCCCCTCCTCCGAAATGCCCTCTTCTGACGAGACCTTACTAGACTCCACTTCCCTTCCGCATCCCGCATCCTACTTAACATCCTTCAAAATTTTCCCAGCTTCTTACTATTTTTCGGGGGTTTCCTCCTAAGAACTCCTTCACCGTTTGCTCAAAAAAGTGCCGTCGAGCAGAGCAGGGGAAGGGAGAGGTATAGCTGGTATCGCCGCAGTCAGTCGGACCGCAGTCTATAAGGGATGGACTGACCCCACAAGGGGCGCTTCCACCACTGATTGCTTCCTTCCTGAATCGATCACTTCCCGATCTCCACTGGTAGACGAAGCAACCGGAGGCGGGGTCATTCGCTCTCCTCGCAACGGCCCTGACTAATTGCCATGTCACGAACTATACTCCTTATCCCTGAGACGGGGTAGGCGTGGCATTCGAACATGGCACAGAACTGGTTACTCGTGGGATATTTCAATTTGAGACAACCGCCATCTTGTTCTTTGTTGGACAGAGACGTGACCACATTTGGGTCAAAATGAAAATATCTCTCCAAAAGCATAGCCACCACGACGTTCAGTATGGAGCCACGCCTACCTCATCTCAGGAATTTTGATTGTATATACAGCGCCACATTTTTGGCCTCCTATGTGGACTATATTCACTTTTACTCTGAACAGTGAAGAATCAAGAACGTTTATTCAATGCTTGCTGTTTACACCCGTAACATTGCATGCCACAGATAATATTATGCGATAATTAGTCTACTTAATTGCATCTAAACATTGCACAAATTCTTGAAAGATGAAAGGATAGAGAGGAAGCAATACTCAACAATTAAAGATCACAGGAAAACACAAAAATAGCGACGGCGGAACCTGCTGCAAATACAGCTTCAGTACTGGTAACAGTATCATTTACAACAGAAGAGGAAGGCTGGACCGTGACTGTGCCTAACATGTGAAGAAAAGAAGGAAGAACTGGACGAAAAGCCAGAATTGTTTAATAGCGCGCGACCGAAAGTAACTGAAACTTTTAGCGAAGCGTAGAAGCTTACGCAGCCAGAATGACTAGTGTCAAAATGGCCATAATGCGGGAGGAGCTGTATGAGATTTTGCTGAGAATAGGGTGAGATGATGTGCGGGGTACCGTATTCTGACCGCGTTCGCCTTCATCCTGTAAAAATGGCTAGAAAATTTAGAGAAAAATCAAAGAACCAAAAAGCAATCTGTGAAGTGTAGCAGCTGAGTCGGTAAATTATGTAAAGGGGGGACTCGAGGATTAATAGAAAATATTCTTGAAGAAATGAGTCCAAAAACGGTTGTCGGTTTCAGTCCTTTCTTACAAACATATTCCACGCTGTCGACTGGGCGGGATTAACTGAACCACTCAGCCTTGATTACTGGTTCCCTCCGCCTTCGTAGAGCAATGTGTGCCATGGCAGTGTGAGTGTAATGACGTTCGAATACGAAAAAAGAGGGTGCCAGTTGATGTGTCTTTCATGGGAACGGAGAAACCCCCACCTCCGCCGCCTTGGATAGGACCCCTTGTTTTGTTAAATAAACGAGGTCCCCGGCTCTCCGACATGTTTTCAGAAGTGATAGCTTTATGCCGGCAGATGGCGCAGCAACAGTCCAGCTCTCACGAATTTGACGTTGCGTGTCTACACCCCTGTTCGCTGCGGATGATGGCGCGTGTCAGTGAGTCTGGGTTTGGCGCGCCGCCAGTCCGTTCCCCATCGGTTGTTGGAGCGCGCAAGTGACATTAATTGGTGGAAAACGAAATACGAAAAATTCGCCACATACAGTATTGTTGTTCGTCAAAAGATTCGAAGGAAAGAAAGGGACTGGCGTTGCGCCAGACCCATTCCCTTCTAAAACACCCTGTCATCCGCAGCGAACAAGAATGTACACATTTTTTTATAATTTTCTCCCGTTTTTTTTCTCTTTTTTGTTTCTTTCATTGAGTTCACTAATGTTCGCCAGTAATCTAGTAACGGTCCCTGTTAATGCGATTCTGCGCGTAGGCTACACACAGCGAAGAAAACGTCTCAAAATGCGGCCCTTGTGGGGTGGGCGGAGAACGTGGCTAAGGCGGGGGCACCCCATATCACAGGTGCCTAGAGCTTTTTTCACACCTGCGATGCAAGGTCGGATGTTGAACTGCGCACATTGTGGGGGAGGAGGTTTCGCGCTATCTGCGCTCCTGTAAAAAGTGCCTATCAAGAGGGACAGCTGCGAAGTTAATGTCTCTCATACGTTTAGCGCCTAACGTGCCTTAAAGGCAGTGGACACGATTGCTGGGGGCGGGCGGTTGCCGCCATCGTCACTGGTGGGAGCGCTGAGTGGGGTGAAGCGGATGCCCTCCCGCAGCCCTTCCCATCAGTGACAGTGGCAACACCGCCCGCCTCCAGCAGCCGTACCGTCGGGACCCAAACCCGCAAGCAATTGGACCCAGTAATTCAACTTCAAAGGAGCCAGTGGATGATAACTGCCGGTAGAAGGCGAAAAAGTAAAGATAGATAATGGTGTTACTTAGAAAAAGGGTAAAAAAAAAGCCTGTACCACTGAACAAACCTGCTGTTTCTTTGTCGCTCTGGGCCTCGTGTCTTCTTTACCGCTAACTAAGTGGTGGAAATTACAAAGATGGCTGTCGCATACGCAGTGCTTGCTGAGTGGATCGCTGGCATTTTTCAAGTATTCTGTTGTGCATCCCACGGTAATCTTCTGAAAAATTACTTGTTGTACATCACTAGAGTAATTTTCTGTGCTTTCAAGTATACCAGCCAGACGCTGTTTACGCGAAATTCGAGGAGGACCTACTTGGTCGTCGTCAACTTTCAGACAGCCTGCCAAAAGTTCGTATCGGGGTCTTGTCGTACCGATGAATTCATCATGTTCTGCATAATCACGCTTGAAGTCAGCGCTTTCAAGAACGATTTCTGACGTTGTCAAGGAAATGAAGCAGAACTGGCCCTCACAAGTCGTAGACCTGTAAAGATATATTTGAAAAAAATAATAGTCGAATTCGAAAGTCTTCCCGAACAAATTTGTCAAATTGTCAGCACCACTTGTCTTTTACTGCCCACTTTCGAAAGTGAAGCCAGATTCTGAGCAAAGTTTCTCGCCGGGTTGGATTTGGCCGAGATTTCTCCCCTGGTTAGTTTAACCCCTAAACACGGATGCTACATCTGCTCGGAACAAACACGACCACAGTACGCGCCAAGGGCACCAACGTCACAGGAAATTTGGGCTACCTGTAGTGCAGGTGGGCAGCAGGAATTTTCTGGTTGGGAGTGTGTGATGTTAGGTTTTCGGTAGGGAAAATACCCAGGTTTTAAGTGGGCTTGATGAGAAGAGGTAATTGTTTTCACGCCAAACGGTTAACCGGTGTCAAGATGACAACATTAATCCTCAGGGTGTTGAGGACCACCCAGGGACATAATACCTAAATTAACCTGCTCTTGTATCATATGATCTGGGATTACCTGGGCGATAAAAGCATGAGGTTGAATTCCTGAATAATAAATTTTAAATTGAAATTCAAAGAGAAGATATGCTAGATATGCATCATTCCAATAGGAGAAGGGATACAGACATGTCTACCGTAGATGAAGCGAGAAAGCCACAACGATCACCGGAAAAAGGGCTGGCGTCGCGCCAAGCCAGATTCAGCCCCCCTCCCAGCACCCGCACAGTCAAAGGTTGGATACATTCTCTAGAACACAAGAAGGTTTTGGTTGGGTCCTGAACATTTGTCCTTTTCACCCCCGAATTGGTGATATATAGTTTTTCGGCACTGCTTATTGTAATTTGCCTACAGTACAACCTAAAATAGCAATTCAAAGCAAAGCCCAGTATGGATTTGTTGTTCACATGGGCGAACTGTGCGCGACGGGTAGTCAGGGCACATCATCTTGGGGATTACCCAACAGGCGGGGGGTCGTATTTAGTCGCTGGGGGAGCTGGACAGCAGCTGGGACGGAACTAAGGGGAGGGGTCTTATCAAGCCACCTCTTAGGGCTGGAGTGGCCCGGACTCGACCTAAATCCCCAATTAACGATGTGCCCTGTAATTGCCAGCGATCGACTAATAGCAGAGTGCCGCCGCATGCACCGTCTGACACTGAGCCTAAACATGCAGTATTTCTTGATTTCAAGGCCTTATTTTTCATCTGAAAACGCGGGCGCATGCGCAACGGGGAACAAACTACATACAGTCCTCATCATTGCGGACCGGTGGGGCGTGGCAGTGCGGCTGCGTTTGGTGCGGTTTGGCAAAGTCGTTCTGCACCAGTTTTTGAAGCGGGCAAGTGCATTACTGTATTATATCCTTCGTATTACTCGTTTTCTACCACTTTTTGTCGCATACGCGTTGCAACAAAAAAGGCTGAGAACGGCTTCAACAGTGTGCGCACTCCTTCTGGCTGACACGCCCCACCGGTCCGCATGACGAAGACTGTAGTTCTGTCGACACGCCTCCTTCAAAATTTCATTGTATATCTATTTTTCTACCATTTGTTAATTAATCCTTGAGACTGCCTGCAAGTCATAATAATCAACATTTAATCATTTAATTCGAACAGGGTGATTTTCTCCAAAAAAGGATGAGTGCTAATCCGATTTTGACCTTCTTCTGAAGAAAGACAAGTCCCTCTTGGTTTTTTGTTACCCACATAAACAATCGAGGACCAACGCGTTTATTCCTCAATAAACCCTTCAAATCCCGTAATTTACAATTTGCTATTTGATTCCAATAGCAACGGAGGAGCGGGGATGTTCACCATTCAAAGTCATTTACAAAGCGAGATATTGTAAAAACAGAAATTCCACAATTCAAACAAAACCTACTTTTTAAAAACTTCTTGTCCGAACGGTTTGCTCGATTTGTGATTGAGACTGTAGCAGTAGTTTTGGTCGTCTAGCCGCCGTTCAATTACTTTTTTCACCTTAAATTAATGATACTTATACTTACTGTTTGAAAAATCCACAATTACACTGGTAACGTCGCAATCATTCGTAGCGTTTTCAAGGAAGATCAAATAAGCCCTCGCTTTCCTTTGAATCGACCACTAACCAGTCACTATTGTTAGAGTGAGGTCGCCGGAGGCGGCTCATCGCGCCCTTCCTGACACCGCCCCGTCTTCTTGCGATGGTATCGACTATAATTCGTGCTATGCGTGCTAAATCCCATGTTTCTGATCAAAAATGACGTGCGCAATTCATACTGGTAGCCTTAAGTGAATCGAAAGGAAATCCAAGAGTAGTAATAAGGTTAAGTTGTGAGTAAACCTCATCCCAAATAATATTACAACATAAACTAATTTCTGCTGCATGATCATATGAACTGAATAATTTTTATGATTGAATAATTCTTGCAAAAATGTTTCTTACACGATATGACACATACTTGCCGCTAGCCGAAAAAAAGAGAAAACGGGCTGGCGCTGCACCTACCCCCCCCCCCCTTAACACACCCCATGTCCGCAGCGAACGAGACTGAGAGACTAGAGACTAAGCAACCTTCATGAGAATGAGATTTTTGATGTCTCATTGAGGTATAAGAAAGAACGCGAGCATAAAGACACTTTAGAAAGACCGTTCCTTGGGAAAGTACTCCACGCAAAAAGAAATTAGGCTCTTCGTAGTGGGAGCGTTAGCGTTTATCATGTTTACAAACCTGAAAATGCCTCGTTTTATTCAGTTCGTTGCAGGATCCAGACGGTTGCGTACACGTGCATCCATTCATCACTGTTCCAGGTGTCGCTTCATACCTGGAAATTTAACGACTTTTTAGCGATATCACAATCTGAACTGAATAGTTAGAGAGGTAAATTTGCTGCGGTCTGGCACATGTAAAAGGCATAGTCCACACTGATCACATGGGAGGAGACAGTTGTTGTGCATTACTATGGGCGCGCGCCTCGTCCTCACCGCCTTAGAAGAGCGAAAGGTTAGTTGTCTCCGCCCACATGATCAGCGCGGACTGCATCATTGGAATCGTGTAAAAAGGCGATATTGTGTGATTTCAGCTGCATCTATGTAATATGCATGCGAATGTGTCTAAAGTTCCGCCAAATCTCATAAGAGATCACGAACCTCGCGCAAATCAATGATCCTTGGTGATCCAGATAGTTATCCATCCTCAAGAACGACTGCAAACGGGGGAATCCTAGACCGCATCCCTACAAGAGACTACATTTCTTCACTTCGCTAACTTGAATGTAGTGAATATTTTATTATTTCACATAATTCATAGTACTTATTTCCATTCGCTTCAAAAATGATTTCCTCATTGAAAGACCACATGTTAGACAGCGTCCAGACTTGGCGACGGCAGCGCTTTGCGAAGTCTGGACGCTGTCTAACATGTGGAATGCGTGTGTTCGACGCGATCGATGGGCATGCCTTCGACTGCATTGATCGCGTCAAACGCGCTACCCAAACGCAGCCGTCGCGAAGTCTGGACGCTGCCTTATATAGTCAACTTCATTAATTTGAAGGGTTTTCTACGAGCGTATTCAAGTACCCTTTACATGTAAATGCTTCGTACCAGGTTCAAGCATTGCGTTGAGGGGAATTTTGAAAAATACGCATCCCTGAAAGGAATTTTTCTCTCTTCAAAACCACTCCTCCACGACTTTCAGTTCCAAAACAATCCTCAACAGGGGGGACCTTCTATCTGATCGTCTGTCAGAAATAGAACTGAGACTCCCTCCACCTTCTAGTGGTCGTATAGCCGCCTAAAACGAGAAGATCCAGCACTCAAAATCCTTCATGAGCCCAAAACCTAGGCCAAGTATAACCCTCCGTCAAGGACCCTTCGACACACGTCTGACAATACCCAGCATATGCCTAATCCAAAAAATGATGTCCAAATTCTATTTTCACACAGAACAAGAGAGTTTTACTAGTATATAAATCATGAAGGAAGTTACCTGAAATCAATCAATACCTGCTCAATGCCGTCGAAGTCGACAACACAATAGTTTCCTCTACACTTTCGAAGACATCCTTCAGTCGGACAATGTTCGCCATGCCTTTCAGAGCAACCACAGCATTCCACTGTGGGCAGGCGAGTTGTCATGTAGTTGTTCATCTGGAAAAAGATAAGTTTATTGTAATTCAAGGGGTTAGACAGAATGTATTGGAGGGTAAAACAGGGTAAAACACTTAGACCTTAAACATACGTCTCTGACTCTTTTTTACCTATACTCTCACTTGCCGCCGCGCTCGCAACTGCGCACAGAAAGCCGCCCCTTCTGCTCCAGGAATGGACCATATTAATCTCGTGCGACGACACAGTTAATAATCTCAGGCCGTCTATCCCTGCTCACAGTAATCAAGAAAAGGATTGCGTTTCAAGGCATTCAAATTGCGACTTCGCTGCAAAGCAGAGCATTTCCTGGCCAGTTCACGTTATACATTGCAGCGTTACCACGCGGAATCATTTGTTTCATGGTACGGATGCAGCGCACGTGACATGAATTGGAACATCTCCTTCATCACAACCCGGGGAGACGGGCAAGAATCGTACTTCGCCGCTTCGCCGCGCGCGCCGATGAGTACGGCCTTTTCCTGGTTATAGTTAGCCTGTCGATAAGAGCTCCGGCTTTCACGTGGGCTGCAAAACTGTAGATATTTATGTCTATTCACGGTTCTTTATTGTTAGTTGTCGCCCTCTACGACGGGAAACCATCATCATTTGCGGGCGCGACGTCGCACGCGGCGTTATCAGTGCGGCGAATTACGATCCTCTTGTTACATACCACACAACCCGTCGGTGCTTCTCAAAATTTCTTCAGCAAAAACTAGTTTAGGGTCACATTGTTTTCTCATGGGTACAAGCCAAATGATAATTCCACCCGCATAGTCCGGCTTTGCAAAATTCATGGTTTCATGTTTATTTTAGCAAATCTTTTCTAACCGTATATTGGCAATCTTTATACATGCTTATTGCTTCGATTGGATGCACTTCTGACTTGTCATACTTCACTGGGCTCCTTAATCCATGAATACGTTGAGCCGTATGTCATTTCACTCAAACATACTATTTTGCTGTTGACGAGTTATTCTTGTGTCTAGACAAATGATTTGAAGGAAAAGCATGTATCACATTGGAATAAAAAATTGCTGCTGGTCGCTTTTGAAGGGTCCATTACATCTCAGAAACAAGTAATAAACGCAACATATGACGTCTATGCATGCCTCTTTCGTGGAATCTGACGTACATGGGGAATGAAAAACGAATCGAGAGAAAATGAACCGGGCTATTATGGCAATCTACACTCTATATCACGGAGATGGGGAGGGCGTAGCTATGTACATATTTATTTCAACGTGTCTGTAGTTACGCTTCAGCTATCCTGTGATATTGCCACTTTCCTACAATTGGTATCATGCCGTTTCCAGCACGAGACAAGATGACAATTGTGTCGAGTGGGAATACCTCAAAAAATGTATCGTACGCCATACTAGAACGAGGTGCGCAGCCACGCCCACCTATTTCCGGGATATGAATGTACAAAACGTGCACCTATCAATATCCGGTCAGTTTCATCAACAGAAGCCCTTTTAGAGAAGTGCACGATCTGAGGGTTCCTTCAATTTGGATGGTTCACTCCAGTAAGATAATCACGTTGCAATCGAAAGAGCTCGATTAAGCACGACCCGCTGGCCTGGGTGTGACAAGACAATCGTAATATGCCGCGCGAGTGGGCGTGGCGAGCGACATGGCGCCCGACAGACGAGTTGCTTGCCTGGTTGTTTAAATACGAGTGCCAGATGATGGGGAAATTTGATATCACCAGTCAAATAGCCTCACCTTTGCTTGAAATTCGTGCGAGTTTCTCTGGCTCCAGCCGGCGAGCTAATGAACACAGAGCATTTGCCCCACAGGGCTGCACGGTATGCGCCGCGACAAACTACGATTGTCTTGCCCCTCTCCCTACTCGAACCGTCCTTAGTGTAGAGCACAGCTTGACCAATACCGTGTTTTTTGCAGTAAAAAAAAGGGTTGTTGTAAAGTGATGGTGAACGTTTACGCACGTTCTATCAGTCGTTCAAGTGACGTAAATTTAATTGCTTTGTCGCGCTTGTAATAAAAGAATATGTCATTACTTTATAACCACTTTTTACCCCCCAGAGTGTCAAAAGGTGTCATGTTCATTGACGTCAATGGCATGGCGAGAAGAATTTTGAATAGAATGCATTTTGCAGGTCTGCCATTTCCAAGAATTGATGTCATCATGTTAATCTCGCCTAGCTGGCTTGTAAACGCTGGACGTCATCGAAGCCCTGACATGGCACAAAGAGCTGAATAGCATGGGGTAGACAGGGATGTAAGTATCAGTAATTAGAAACAAACTTGAGTAATACCAACGAAACTTGAGGGCTCACACACTTCTCTTACTTAGATGGACCTTGCATCAGCAGTCATATGCATTTTGAAGGCATAAGGCACGATAATATGGAACTCGGTTAGAGTGATAGCAGGGGTGCTATATAGTGGGGTAAACAGCGAAAAAATAAAGTAAACAGTCAAAAACGGCCTTAAGAAAAGCCTTTGTTCTACACGTCAGAAAATAATTTCGGACGAGTTTCCCGTTGGCATCGTGCCAATACCCTTACGGTAGATACGGCTGCATGTATGTACTCATATATCCATGCAGCACCGCAGCCGCTTCATATCAATCCCTTCGCTTCATATTGTACTTCGCAAATGAAGCAATACGAGCACCAGGTACGGTCGTCCATTTGTGGGCGGGCGGCGCGGTGGGCGTCCGGGTCGGTATGTTGCAGCTTGATAGGGCGCTATAAGGGTACCTTTCTTGGAAAATACGCAACGGAACTCCTGCTCAGGGCCACAAATCTGTCCTGCTAAGCGTATTAATCCTGCTCGTCTTGTAGATTTATCGTGCCAATCGCTTTTATTTCATTGAAATGGCACCGTTGCTGCGGAAGGCTCAACAGCCTGAACATCTAGTGTAGTTCGCTGCGGACGGTTGGGCGTGTGAGGCGGGATGAGTTCGGCGCGGTGCCAAACCCACCGCGCCGAACTCAACCCACCGCGCCGAACCATTCTCCAGCAGTTGTTAAAGCGAGCAAGTGATATGACTGTATCATATCGTTCGTATTACTCGTTTTCTACCACTTTTTGTCGCATGCGCGCTTCAACAAGAAGGCAGAGAACGGCTTTGACGGGTGACACACTCATACTGCCTGACACGCCCAACCGTCCGCAGCGAACTAGAGTATATCTGTACCTCAGGACGCAGCCAGAGAAAGTGGCGTGCTGTAACTGTGGACCCACTCTCCCCCCCCCCCCACCACACACGGGAAGGATCACTACTGGCGATGATGAGTGTACAGTTTGCCATTGAGGTACGAGCCCTGAGTATGGGGCCCAGCTCCTGTCAAACTGACCTAGAAAGCTTGGAACAGAGTTACTTTGACCCATTGTATGTGGACTTGGAATTAACTGGTATTAACTGGTATCTTAGTGCGCAGCGAATGGAGGGTTAGCAGTGTGGGACGGAACTGTCCATCAAGGCGTCCAGAAGTAGTGGGATCTTGCCAAACCGTATAGGGATATCTCTGCCAATCTTGCTATTCTGCCATTCAATTATTTCGAAATCGTGAAATTCCTGTGGACTTATGGGCTCTAATAGGTCGAAATCGAAAAATTCTAACGGCTACTGGTCATCGCAACTCCCACCCCGTGGAATATCCTCTGAAAAGGATCCGATCACATTTAGCTCATCATCGACGATGGTTCTCACCGCTACGCCAGTCAATCTAATTCTGCCGCTGGCGACGAAACGAGCAGCAATGTGGCCACAAGTCGATTACACCCCCCAAATTAGAACAATGAACAAGACAACGTTCACCGCCGTGGGAGTGAATTTTTACAAAGAAGCTGACGACACGAGCTTCGCATTATATAGAAGGTGCAAAAACATCATCATTCTGGTAGTAAGTTTAGCAAAAAAAAACAAAAAAATAACGTAAAAATTGGAAAAAACCATCTCGGTAGTTCGCTGCGCGAGATTATCAAACATTTTAAATGGGCTGTAAGAGAGACCCGCCACAAAATGGACAATGCACCAACGGGAAGAATAAGAACTAGAGCAGGAATTATTTTTAGACGAGACTTTTCTTCAACCCTTCCGTCTCCAGTGTTAGTCACCCTAGACTGAATGAGTAAAGCCTTCGCATTCATTCATATCTAGCGGCTTGCAGTTTGGGTGGGCAAGATGTACAGAAAAAGAGGAGTATCTAATAAAAATAAGGGCGTTTCGAACATGGATCAGATACCGCGCTGCGAAAATGCGCCATATGCTCTAATTCATATCAGAATCACAAGGCGTTTTGAATGCGATTAGGCCAGCACTCTGTCTGCTGTTGGCACTAAATTTTCTTCCATCTGGTGCGATCCATTACCATAATTTCCATCCCCCATCCTACCTATCAACTTCCACAATTTCCCCAACTTTATACCACTTCCCGTAGTTTTTTTTCAGAAATTAATTTGCTTCACTCCCAAAAACAGTACCGTTGTAGGGGCGGGTGTGTGTAAGTCGCGCATGAAACAGGAAATACGAGAAGAGTCAAACAAACCGGGTAGCATTATCTTTCTGGAGGCAATACAGACCTCAATTCGTGCCAAAGCAACACAAAAATCGACCCCTTCACTGGGAACCCCAATGCATGCCCTGATTGTACCCCTCCGTACGGACTGCATACCGATGTCTGATGTGTTTCCATTACTGCAAGATTCAACTTCCTTCGATCAGCTTCTACAACAAATCTATGAGTTGGACTTGATTGCTGGTTCTAGGGTGAACAGCGGCTATCCTTCATTTCCACGCCTACGAACCAATCTTTGGCGCAGATCTGCTCCCTGCGGACACCGATTGGTACTCAGCTAAGATTACAGGTCACCTCATCAAGACCTGTAAGTTCCTTGACTAAAGTGAATTACTGGGACAATTTAGCAGTCTCACAGGACTTAACGGGTTTGGCCATAGTAGGATCTGTTAGTAAACATGAAGCAACGACTAGAACAAGACCCCAGAGTGTAAAATGGCCCCTCTAAGCCCATCGGCGCCCAATCCTTTCCAAATTCTAGCGCCCGTGATTAATGTACTAACTACAACGCGCTTAACGTGACATGAAGAAATGAGGAAGCTCAAAAGGACGTCACTTTGTCACATTGCATGAGCGCTCGAAATTAGCCCATATCCATCCCGATCAAACATTAAAACATGTAAATTGGCGTCGGCATACCAAAATAGCGAAATAGCGTGACCTGCCAACATGTGAGAGGAACGGTGGTGAATAATTGAAAAGTATTGGGTTCAGCAGACATCAGCCAAACTTTTTTAGTTGGCAGGGGTTCTCCCCATGCTGGCTACATGATTTTGAGGATTTTGTATCGCTCAGAAGCTCGCGCTCTTTCGGTAGCTTTTGATATTTATCTTTATACATAATTCTTGTGGACTTTTTTAGTATGGAGTATGTTAGAATGAGGTGGTGTAGTGGCAAGTGGTGGTCAAATGTCGGATTAACTCACGTTCTGACCAGCCAAGTACTGTTAATTAGTCAAACCTTATATGGGAGTATAAAGAGCACTAATTGGCCCCGCCAATCATATCACTCACAAAATGCAAGTACAATGATTTGGTATGGAAGATCAATGCGTGGCGCATACCAAAAGGGGTCGCTCAACGGCGGGAACTTTCTTATTGTCTTTTTGATTGAACTACTTGTGAGTAAAAATCATTGCTTGCCTTGCGTGTGTGATATTCCGCAGTAATTGGTTGGGTGGAGAAATAGATGCGCGCGACCATCCTCACTAAAAAAATTTTTGCCAGATGCCCGCACCCTTTCGCTGAGCCTTAGTGCACTAGAGCTTACCTAGAGGCCGGACATTGAGCACTGAATGTAATTGATAATAGAAAAGTCATAAAAAGGAAATTTTGCACTTCCGTGACAAGTGCACTTGTTTTTAAATAGTAATACCCACGTTTGCCCTCCTATCACGAACAGAAAGTGCTTCCGCTGATGAGGACTACTCCTACTTTTTATCGGTGAGGAAAATCGAGGTGTCATTATGGTAATTTTGAACAGTTTTCAAAGAAGATTTTCATCCGCACGTGCCCATAACCAGAGTTCAACAGTCTTCAATCGCCTTGAAGCCTTATTACGAATAGCATTACTGTATGAAGATAAAGATGCGAATGGCTTGGTTTTTTTTGATACCAGCGAATAATCAGAATGCTGAATATATTGAATAGGGGGGTATGTAGTAAGAGAATTGTATTCCGGTTCGCCGCGTGCTTATTTCGCCCGTCGGCTACTATATAGTTCGAAGCCGCACGTACGCCATTAGTGATCTAACAAGCTGTTGTAAGCTAAGGATGATGGATTCCTTGTCGCTACGAACATCTTGCTTATACCGCCACTCGCATGCGCTGCGGCGTGGTGAATTATGAATGTCTTGACCGTCTCCCAAAGAGACAACACTTAACGACCCTAGGAGTCTTTTTAACTTGACCTATGTACTGCAGCAGAACAATTTTTAACGAGACCATGTAAACATGAAGGTCAGTTCCACCATTCTAAATCGCAGAGAGCGAGGAAGGAGAATGAAAGTTCAAGTACGACCTGACTTCCTCGTGACCGATAAGAGGGAAAAGCATAAGAGCCGTTTACAAACGTCTGAAGTAAATGCCTCCTTCTTACAGCTGATTCAAAGCCGCAGGGTAATTAGAATTTCGAGCGAGAAACCAGGTAAGATAAAAGAAAAGAGAAGGAAAGAATAGCAAATAAAGTGGGTGAAGTCACAAACATTTAGTTGGGATCATTCGAGTGATCTTGTGCCCTAAAGCTCCATCCTGACAACTTTCTGCTGCGAAACTGGTACAGTGTTATCGCGCTACCTTTCCCCACGCAGGCTTCGATCCTCACAATCAATCGCTTCGTACTGGTCGTATGGACTGAATCACCTGAGTAAGCGCGTTCTTCTCACTGATAAGACTTTCTTTCTAAAATGGCGATGAGAAGGAGCGCACCAATGAGAAAAGGGTCAGTGGTCCCAGTAAAACCGCCCGAGCACCTCAGACGATTAGAGCGTGAATGGTGTAGCAAAACTTGTTGCGGTCATAGTAAAACCACGGATGTCTGAGTAAGACCCAGACTTTCTGTAGGCGCTATCTCGAAAATTCAAATAAACTCACTTTTTGCCTAGTGTTGCATTCGTTTTCCTCGCAGAAACAGTGAAGAGCCTCGTTATTGCTGGCGTACTGGCAACCTTTCTGCGCACCAGGGATGTCCGTGATACAGCCTTTCTTAAAATGACAAATTCTGGAAAGTTCTCGGAATTAAAGGGTCGATGCTATAGTTATCCATATTGACAAGAATCAATCTAGTAATTAAAAAGGGTCACCCTTTAGTGAGCTTCCTTGGTTTGGTGGGCCGATCACGTTTTCCACCACTTATCGTCTCTTTCTCCCTTCAATAATTGGTGGAGAACGGGTTGGCGCCACGCCGAACCCAGCCCTCTTGGCACGCCCCGGCATCTGCAGCGAACAAGTCTGTGCATACCTGCATAATGGCTGTTTTCTCTTCACTAAAGATCTCAACTTTAGCAAAGCAGGCGTTCCCTGAGCACATTTCCTCAGGCTTCGACAAACAATCACAGGCGACGGGATCCACCTGAATGAAGTAATTAGCTAATTGCCTCACATTGGGTTATTAATTGATATGGTAGTAAGTATCACAAACCATCAAGAGTAGCTGATCAGGATCTCTATTATTATCTCGTAATAACTATGTAGGTTGAGACTTCTCCTGAAGCTACCATGTAGTTTTGTTAAAGCTATCATGTATTTTTGTTACTGAAGGTTGGTAATCAATGCAGGGCACGTCCTGCCGTTGAGGAAATTTTTTGGGAAATATGACCTCCTCCTCGAATTTCCTTCACTGGTGCGACCCTCGTCCTCATCCTCCATGTTACTTCCTGTATTCGCCCAACTTCCTGCCAATTTCTTTTTGTATTTTTTTCGATTCTCCAGTTCCCACGCGGGGGGGTTGGGGCGGAGAGGGAGCTGGGGGTAAACAGCGCGCTTGAAACAATAAATAATCGAGAAAATTCTACTTCCAAGAATATTTTTCTTCAACAGCAAAGACGATTCCCCCCTTAGTACGAGGTGCTATGACAGGAGGGTTGCCCTGCATCCAATTTTTCTTGTTCAAATGTATTACATATGTAGACAATTCCAGTACTGGTAATTGCGCATGCCGTAGCTATTTCAAATGTAGCGGTCACAATAAATCACTCCGATCTCATTTTTCATTTTTCTATGTAAAAAAAACGGTAGCTGTGACAAGCTAGTTTCGTTTCCAATGAAATCCGAGAGCATACGGTCAGAATTCAAAATATAACGGCCAATAAAAGATTCCTTATTAAAACCAACCCTTCGCAAAGCACAAAATACTCACTGCATTGAGTAACCAACTAAAGGCTGAAACCACTGACAGACAAATCACCGTGGAGTTTCTGATCTACTCACAACAATACCATTTTGCGACGACCTTATAGTCATGCGATGGATCCTTGCCAGGGCAGAATCTATTTTGCGCACTTAATATGACATTACTCTGGGCTAATTGGCAGGCTGCTGGAGAGTGTAGATAATTTCAGTAGGGTAATAAATAGTAAGATATTAGGCGCCCATTAGTTCATTGTTTCGGATCGGCCCTCCATCGGATCTCCATTCACAATCGTAATGGCACTTTGAACGAGACTGGGCATACAGTACGGCTTGCTAGGGACAAAGACATATGGAAGTTAGTGTTTTCAAAATCCGGTACAAATTTATGAAAAATAAACCAGGAGGGAAGGAAGTTTCGTTGGCCCTAGGGGAAAACCATCCTCTTTTGTGATTTTTTTCCTGGATTTCAGGCCAGCATTTTTCTAAGCGTAGTCACTTGCTACTACAATGAGACTGCGCAGGGTTTGCAGACAGTTTGCTGTTCAGTTTGGAAACGGAATTTCACCCAAAGCGAGTGCAAAACCCTCACTCGGGTCCTATGGATAGTACGCGAGCCTGTTTGCGTGAGGAACACCTGAGATTGGAGGTTTCAGATCTTAAAAGCTACCTTGATAAAAGACTGAACCTCTTAAGGTTAGTTCCTCGAGGTGGACTCTACCCTTGCACTCGTAGTGGAGGAGCTTTTCTTCCCACACTGGTATTTTTGTTTTGTTTTTTTTTTGGAGGGCAAAGTCTAGCTTTGACGAATGGAATTCCTCTGTTATTGCACTAGTGGCGCCACGCCACAGGCGGCCGACCTAGGGGTCCGGGGGGGGGGGCGAGAACGAAGTAGGCATTTCCGCGCCTCCTTTTCTTGAGAAGCTAAGCATGTTTAAGAACGCTTCACGCTCATGAACGGATTTTACAGTGAGTTAAGACACCCGAATGCATAATTGATCACCTCTGAGCTGAGGATGCGATTCATGAAGTATGATGACGAGTACGCTCACTTCATGGTCCTCGAAAACAGATGAAGGGCAATCTTGAATTAAAGAAGCATTACACATTTTAGGGCAGCTAAATGTTCACTCCGGCGTTCGCGTGTCGGGGACGCTTGGAACATTTCAAGGGAGCTCGGGTTGGTGAGGCCGGTCGGCGTTGTTTCCAGCAATTGGAGGCGCGCGATGTCGAGCTCTGCCCTCAATCTGGTGGAGAACCACGCTGATCATATGCCACAAACCAGCCCCCCTCAAAACCTCTCGCCAAGCGGTCCGCAGCGAGCAGGCTGTAGCAAAAAATCGCACTCCAATAAGACAGTCCAGCAAGAACAAGCAAGAGTTAATCCGAACCGCTGGTCAATTTTTCAGTAGTTGTAATGCAAGGCCAAGTACAGGCATTTGGCAAAATGCCTTGCAGTAACAAGGACATGAAGTTTGATATGGTTCCGCTGCATACCTTTACTGGAATGACTATCAAAAAAAAACAAGACCCTGAACAAATTCAGCGGGTTTATGAAGCGGTATAAAAAAAAAAACAAAACGATATCATTTGAGGAGAGACGCCTTGTTAGGTACAGTACTGCTTACTATCGCGAACTAACTCTCAGAGATATGAGGATGATAGGATAAAGAAGGGGCTATGAAGACAGCAGGATAAATCAGAGCTGCGGTACTCAATTGTTACAAGGTTGACAGATTGGTGAAGTAGTACAAGTATGCGAAGGGGTGAGCTCGTGAAATCAGTCGTCCGTTATTGGCGGAGTTTTTCAAGTGTGCACGTCGTGGGGCAATGATGAAATGCAATGAAACAAATCTTCCGCTTGACATGGCAAAGGTAACAATCAGGGCATTAATCAGGTAGTAGATGAAACCTGCAACTAGTTGAGGACTACATATGACGGGTAATCGATCAAGGATTAAGGACATTTAGTGAACTACAAGTGGTGAGATGGGATCAGCAACATTGAAATGTGAACCTGTAGACGGGTGCGAGCTTGACCTCACCCAGGTATAGAAAAACTATAGGAAAGATTGCAAAACCCAGCATGCTTGAGTTTCCTCATAACTGTTGAAGTTCAGCACATTGAGAGTATGCGAAGTAGTGAGAGGCTGTGCGCGCGAGAGAGGTATGAGAGAAGGAGGATGAGAGGACGGACAAAGGACAAGGCAATAGCCACGCAGTCTCATACTCTAAAGTCCCGAAGGCATTTACCGTCATATCTGAGAGAATTCGCCAAATATGGTGGGCTGACCGGACGGCGCCTGATGAGGGGTTCCTACGCTGCACCACCCGTCGATAGCTTTCTCAGCCTGCGAAAGTGGCCCAAATTCTCGAATCGGCAGGCAGGGTTCGTTTGCAGGTGAGAGGAAGGGATTCAACTGCTATCAGTAGCCGCCGCAACCAGACCCGCGCCGGGCCTGCCCGCCAGCGGACGGGTCTTCACGCACCGTAATACTACTTTTAAGGCTCTGAAGAAATTAGAATCGGTCCATAAATGGAATAAAATAAGAAGCGGTAACATCTTGCTCACGTCCAACACAATGGCTTTGTGAACGCTGTACTAAAGCGCGTAGTAATGTGTGAGCGGTGGTGGTCAAGGTGCATGAGGGAAACGGTGTGGGAAGAATGAACGAAAAGTCAAGCAGAAGCGTTGAACGGAAAAAGAAAGAAGGTGCTGCTCAAAAAAAGCATCGCTTAACTGATAACCTTCCGTCTCAGTGAATGTTTGCTTGAGTTTTTCTTGCCAGTGAAGTTTTAAGAGCAGAGAGAGACGATTGAAGAAAAATATTGGGAGTCAAAATTACGGCCAAGAGTTAAAGGGAACGCGCTATGACCGCGCGACATGAGATGTAAAGGTGAAATTTCGGGACTCATTCGGCCATAGGAGTGCTGAGACGTAAACGGGTATAAAATGTAAGGACACCAGGGGAGTGCGGTAGATCTCTTTATCGCTTCGATCGTATATCTGCCTTGAATCGAATTCGATGTTCAATAATATTCCATACCGAACTCATTTCCTCAAAACAGCAAGCAAACTGAAATCCGAACTCAAAATTCGAATCGAAGAATCGTAATTGAAATTTCGAAAAATATGCGATCTTTAGTAGATAGTCTCAATATAACCATGCGCCGAAGGATAGGAAGACCCGCCTTGGATAAATTTTAGAAAACTTCGACCTCCATGGTAAAATCCCTGGCCCGTCTCCATACCTCATCCTACCTACCATTTACCTCAATTTTTACCACATTTCCTCCAGTTTTGTGCCAGAAAACTACCTGTGAGCGGAGCTTGGCGAGCGCGGCAGGGCGTTGCTAGAAAAGTAGAGTCGTGAAACAGAACAAACAAGTTTTTTTGGCACCGAAGTGAAGGACATACGCCTCTCAGCGACAAAAATACGACCCCCCTCCTCTCGTCGCAAGATATTCACAACGTGCGACGTGATTTGTCAAAGAAACAAGAAAAGCGGGTCCATAAAACAATGACCTGGTTCTATCCAAAAATAAGTTATCACCTAGAAACACAACACATTTGAGAGCGATGTGTATTTCACTTGGTTCTCATCATGTGGATCGACTGTCTTCTTGTTAAGTGGTGTTCATGATACGACCCCATGGTCCAGTCGTGTGGCGTACGTAGGGATACGTACTCAAAGTCCTTGTAACTGATGTCCTAATCATGATGGTCTGGATCACAACTAAAGGTAGCGACTCATTTTTTTTTGTGAGTGACCGACTATGTACATGAGTAAGGGCCAATGTGGCTCCCGAAACTTTCACCGCGAACCCATGCGAGCCGATGTAATATTACGGGATAGATCGGGTAAATGGAGGAAATTTCCCATTGTTTCCTGAAGAAGGTACCGTCGGCAGAGGGTGGGCACCAAACAATCACCAAAATTGACTACCCGAAATAGTGATTGTGTAGGACTTCGACTGTATCTACAACCAAAGGATGCATTTTTTTAAATTATTTATTCATTTACTTATGCCTAGTCGATGTGCAATCGGAAAAAAGGCGCATGGAAAAAGGAAAAATCAGTTGTCAGAAGATTTTCTGAGGCGAACTACGACCACCCTCCCTCCTGCGACCGAATACTACCCTCAGAGTTCGACATGCGTTGATCTTAGCTATCCTCAGATGTGAGCTCATGTCAAATGGTCCAGAAAATATGGTGGCGCCATACTGCGGCCAGCGCCAACATAAACAATTTTTGTTCGGGGCACCTAATAGCTCTTATATTGTAACGTCTATCG